ATAGCCGTTTGATTTGAATGGACCCTTTGCCAACACTCGCGTCAGGATGGCAACTAGGTAGTAACAGCTTCATGTATGGGTCAATTGTTCAGTTGACAAATGTATTCATTATGGGAATAAAATGAGGTTTAACGTCCTACTGTTCTGCTCCAACTGGGTTAATAAAGACGGGGGTACGCCATACAGTGTGCTATGAGGGAACGTTTGAACGGGCAGCTGCACTACACGCTAGTATTATGTGGAATTCCTACTCATGTGTACACGTGACCTCGGTTTTTCGTCCCATCCGAACGACTTTACGCTCTGCCTTGTCATGACCCCTATCCTGCACCACTGACAAGGGGGGGGGGGGGTCATGCCGGAAAATCCCGACCTACAGATTATCGAGCCAACGTCTTAACTACTGAGCCAGCGTGTTATAAATGTTAGGCTGTATATTTTATTTTAATAAATGGGTGTAAATATATAAAATTAATAACAACTGGACTTGTCCTCGAAACAATTTACTGAACCTTTCTTTACAGACCGATTATGATAAAACTTTAAGAATAAGCACCAGATATATTAATCGTTGATCATCAACATTTTACCTGATTTCGAAGTTTTACACTTTAAAAAAAATAAATCCAGGTCAAATTTATTTTATTTTTCAATTTTAAAAAATTCCTCGCATTTTAAAACCGTTCAGTAATTATCTTCAATTTACTTTTCAACTTGATATTAATATATTTTAATTGTAAAATAAGCTTAAACATACATTCCCACAAAAGTATTTATAGGGCAGTTCTTTACAATAAAAGTATGGCAAATGTCGTATATATGGAAAGTGGAGACGCCCAATCCTACAAGAAAAATACTGGATTCATTGAAAAACACCCATAGAACAAGCACTGGGCACACGTCAGGGTACCAATAACTGTCAGCTAGACGGCTTATTGTCTGTGGCTTGACTTGAGCGGTTGTTATTTCTTGGTCGAATGATTGGACTGTTTTGGGAACATTGGGGGGTTTAAACGTACAACAGGCTCTGCAATTAAACGGCGAAAAAAGTAATTGACAGAAGATAATCCACGAATTTACTTCGGCTTCAATAGGTATGGTAAATGGATAGTAAGTAACGACACATACATTCTGCAAAAAAGGGTCCATCCCTCAATCAAGTTACGGGACAAACAAGGCTTCTAAAAATAGTTTGTTTTATATCTTGGGGCATTTCCTCGCGAATGCAATGTTTGATATGGCTTTGAAGCAAATGTTTGATAGATTAATTATTTTGAATATGTTGTTGTTCCAAATATATCATCAAATCACAGTTTGTACACGCGAAGGCATCTTTTTTTTTGTTTTAAACTTGACACGGAAGAACATAATAATAATGTAAGCTTATAGATAAATGAAATGAAATGGAGTTTAACGTCCTACTTTTCTGTACCGAACTGGGCAAATGAAGACGGATTATATAGATAAGCGTGTAAAGCGACACTTATGCACTTGCTGGTTACAGGTTGATAGCCTGCTGATAATGTTTTCCGGTTCTAAATAAATATAGAGCCGACGTAGCCCAATGAGTAAGACACTGGCTCGCTAACCAGGTCTCGGATTCGCTCCTAGTGTTAGCTGAGAAAAAAAATCGTCGGTGACAAAAACATTATCTAGTCGTTCGCATAATACGTATGTACACATTGGCGTGCACGTAAATGAACTGATAAAGGTCTCCGTTAGTAGGATGTAAAACCCCATTTCATTTCTAAGAATTATATCCTCGGTCATTAAAACTCAACCATGTTGTAGCAACAAAAAAAACAATTATAATAAACATATTATATGCCCGGGGAATCTATTCAAATCGTGTTTCAATGTGTGATTTATGCGTATATCTGATGACGCATAAATAATGCTAAGCGTGAACGAATATTATTCTAGTCTATTGAATTCCTTAAAATTTTTCTAGGCCATGCTTTGTGTATATTGTGTATTGACTGTCTCAAATGTACAACCCTGGTTAATTCCTACTGCTGCATCTGGAAAAAACTAGACCCACTATTTGCATTTTAAACTTGAATAATTCTTAATTTTCAAAATATTTCTATATAATCTATGTATGCAATTAGTTGAAATATATAAATAATCATCTGATCAGAAATAAGGCAATGATTTTTTTAAAAAAGGTGCCGATTTACCATGTTCATCTTAAACGTTCTACCTATAAAAAAATATTTTTTTTTAAAACCGCAAGTGATGTAGTTGGTTGAACACGCTCACTGATCTCTATAGTAAGCATACAGATTTGGCATAAGTTTACTGCTGTATTTTGTTCACGTGTCGTCGTTTGGATGGAATCCAAAGGTGCTGTTTATTTAGGTATTCCAAATATGGAATTATGTTATTTTTTTACATAAATTCGTTTATAATATTCTAATAAACAGCCCAAATAACACACTTTATATTCAAATACATTATTTTGTGATACGATGATAGACCTTTCCAAGTGACCTAGATACCCCAAATATATACGCCAAAATGTCGATAGATACAATGTATTTCTCAACAGTCCCTAACCCCCCCCCCCCCCCACAAAGAAAAAAAATTAATTATCTCAGGAACCTCACCAACCCCCTCCTGCAATTCTCTTATTTGATTGGTCAACGTTTACTTTCGTATTTTTTTAGGATTATTTCTGTTCAATCTTGCATCAAAATGTACACTTTTTGACTATCTGCCACGGTATTTGTAAAAAAACAGTTCTCTAGAGACCTACAGGCCATTGGTTCGATATTGTCACTGCGTGTTTGTATCCCCTACAAATCCAAAGGACAAATTAAAAGTACAGTATATTAATATAACGTTAAGCTAAGCATCACACATGAAAAACATACAACACATCAGATGCCACGTTAGTATGCTATTATTGTTTAGGCCAGCGCTTTCTCAACCGGGGTCCATATGGACCCCCAAGGAGAAATTGCATAGTTTTATAAAGGTACTTGGAGGCAAGGGGGAAATCCTGCAGCCTTATGTAAAGTGCCGTTGTCGATTTGAAAGATCTTGTTGTCTTGATCATTAGTGCCCTATAAAGTGGGATTTCCTTCTCTTCATATTACGGGTTATCGGTAAATGAAGCTTAAAGGAGCTAAATCGTTAATATTTGGGACCTAGAAATTGACCCAAATGAGTCGCAACGAATATAATAAAGTAATCTGATTGTATATAAACTGATTTACATTCAATTGTTTCCGTTTTGACTCTTAATTTCAAATCAGTTATGTCTAGCGAAATATCCATGAGTCTCAACCGGATAGCACTTTCTAGCGTCTGGATATTCCAGCCTATTTCGCATGCTCCCCAGATAAGATATGGCGTCACTGTTTGACATGAGTTGTGGAATATGTCTAGCCCCGATCCTTCTGGTCACTTGTTACAAATGACACTGAAACGCGCTATCGTACACGATTCGTGTACGAATGGTAAAATGTTTATTTTATCTTAAATATTGGATATCAGAAGCCTATCTTTTCCTTTAAGATCACAACATCAATGTTGATTTAAATTGACAAATAATTCGTATTTTCAACGTGTAAGACTTAGCTACTTTAATTTACTGTGAAAATATTTACGACTGGCGTAATTCAACATGTGAACAAATTCCCTCATTTTGAGCATATTCTTGTTCTACGGTGAATGGGGAAATAGCAATGCAATATTTGAAATCAAATATATTTTGTTTCGTGGCCACTGTGTAGGAAATTGGGTTCGAGGCCAATGTCAAAAAAATCTTGTTGAAACATAAATGATATGAATCGTAACTATGTCAAAATTTTCTCACATTCTCTGACCGGTACTTAGTACTCTTATAATAATAGTTATGCATTCAAGTGAAATAAAGTGATGTTATACAAAAATGCTGGGGAAGGGGAGGTATGAGGGGCCAATTTTCTCCGGGGTGGGGAATCTCCGACAAAATGTTGAGAATCACTGACTTAGACTACAGACCAATTAAGACGATCGCGCACTTGTCGAAACATCATACATGCATCAGACTTGTTCATTACTGTCCCACATAACTGTTTTTGGAACTCTTAATTTTACATATAAATAATATTTTGACCGGACATAGACTAGGTCATTTCGGGACTAGAGAGAGAGAGTTTAACGTCCACTCGTTATAGACTAGGTCATTTCGGGACTAACATATGGTTTAATTTTATTTCAATAATTCGCTTGCAGTGGGAGGATAGCGGAGGACCCAGAGAAAACCCACGAGGTTGGACAGGCAACCCTACTCCTTGTCACGTACAACCGTCGAAACCATGCCAGTTGAGTCAATGACAGGCCTTATGATACAGCACCCACTTGCTAACCATTCGCCCCCCCCCCCCACAACAGATAGAAAACTTACTTATTTCATATTAACAAAGACGCTTATCGATCTACTCTTCATATAGCTTTCATTGAAATGCACACCTTGTGGATCAAAATGATTTTAGCTCAGAGCACACTTTACCGGGTGGGCTGGTCGAGTGGTCTTTAGATCATTAGGTCTGCCATTGGGTCAGGTGGTGTGGGTTTATACACATAGCCTGTACGTGTAAAGCAGCGGAATCACCGACCCAATCTGGTGCGTTTCTCCAGTTCCTCAGGTTTACGTCAATGCTAAAGACACTTACGGGCAAACCAATCATTGAAATAAATAAAGAGCCGAATGAGCCTAAAACCAACCCCTTTTACTTTTGCCCGTTTTACAAACTCCATATATTTTGTTTATTACTGTGCCTAAAAGTTCCTTTAGATTTATATCGTTTCATTTTTCATTGAAATCTATCTATATTCATTCTTGAGCTGATTTTCCTAATTAAACCAAATATATTCAAATAACACACTATTTATGGATAACAATTACTACGGTTTATTTCACTGCGACGTTTCAACAAGATTTCATAAGTCGTTATCAAGAATATAACACAATTGCAATTCGAAATGAGAGGGCTGTAAGTCAAACTTACCTGCAATAGCCAGTAGTAATACAGTCTTAAGAAACATCTTGTAAAAAAACGTTTATATCGAAAACTGACCTTACCGCTCGAGCAAAATATTAAAACGCGCAGGTTAATTCGAAACGATTGCTTTAAGTATCAGTCAGTGGTTGTGCGCAGATTTTAATCACATGAGGAGTTATGCCCTTTTATGGCATTGTATTTGTGTTGAAACTAGGTTTTCTATGAATCGAAACTAACGAACATTGATTTTAAGAATTTCTTCCGAGCATTAGCTTTCGGCCAGCAAGTACAAGTACTCAGGACGCAACTTTACTGCGGGAAATATTGCTGTCGATTAATAGAAAAAAGGTCCGGTCTAAATTTTAAGGCCACCTGCAGATTCCCTTAAGGTCGCGATGGTTAGGGCACGTGATTGTTGACGAGATTGTGGGTAGGGGTTAGGGTTAGTGCTAGCCCTGTTTACATCTGCAGGTGACCTTAATCTTGAGACCTAACCGTGAATCTAGATTTGGTCGTACGTCGGTTTGAAATCATGTCTGTGGACGAAATCGTATGAATTAAAAGAAACAGTGTATGAGAAACCGAAACATTAGGTTGGATCAAATATATTTCTGACGATAGTACACACAGACGCGTTATAATGGCTAACATTTGAACAATATCTTGTAGTTACGTATAAAAATCACCATATTTAAATTTCAGCTATGGTTACATAGTACAATAGTAACTAAGGACATGTGCACACGTGAGTTAACTGTTGTATGGTTATTTTAGGTTAAGGAAATAACATCGGGGCAGTTAATGTGTCATTGCTACCATTAACTTTATAAGCTGAGATATCAATTGTCCTCCGCCTTTTGAAGACAGCAGGGGACATTAAAATGGGACTGTCCGTCCGTCTGTCAATAGTTTTGGGATACAATTACCCTCCTAATTGAGCTATAATTTTCAAACTTGGTGTAGGTGTTTATTAGGTGAATACCTTGATGAAGCTTGAAGATGGGCATTTTCAGCTTAGGCTAAGCAGAGATAAGCAATTTAATTAGTTGATGCTTTGGGACACGATAACTTTGGTTCTATAATGGTCTCAGATTTTACAGAATTCTCCGGTAATACTCGAAACCTCAGGCCAAACTTAACGTTCAGTAAGCCTATTCAGATTTGGTCAGTGGAATTTACTCACCCGCATAGTCCGGTAATACTCGAAACCTCAGGCCAAACTTGACGTTGCCTCTACCTTTGTTATCCCTGGTTGGGTGCAACTTCAAGGTGAATTTATTGTTCAGTAAGCCTATTTAGATTTGTTCAGTGGAATTTACTCACCCGCATAGTTATGAATTTTCTTGTTTCACTTGACTATAGTAACATTTTGTGGGAATGTAGTCTTTTTACAGATTGACCACTTGTTTGCGATATCATTGTCTGTGGAAGCGGACGCTAAGCCTAACGAATAAACAACCAACAGTTGCCATGCAAAATACGCCCACATTTTGCAAGAGATGGATAGAAAACAAGCTAAAAAAATGCGATTTTTATACGCCTACATTTTCATGTGGACGTATTATGCTGTCGCCCCTGTTGGTCCGTCCGTCCACAATTTGTTTGTGGACACTCTACAGGTCACAGCTTTTATCCGATTTCAAGGAAACTTGAAATGGTTTATCTCCCTAAGATATTGGCATGTATCGGACCGTAACTTCATGGATTATGGCCCCTGAATGTACGGAAAATCGCGTTTTTAGCTTGTGTACCCTATAGAGGTCACAATTTTTATCCGATTTTGTTGAAACTTGACATGCAAGTTTATAATCCAAAGATCCTAGTACCTGTCCATGTTCACGCATATCGGACCGTCACTTCTTGAATTATGGCCCCTGATTGTACGAAATATCGCGTTTTTAGCTTGTGGACCCTATAGAGGTCATAATTTTTTTTATCAGATTTAACAAAACCTTTTAAATATATCACCGGTACACCCTCAGGATGGTTGAGTTCGAATTTCATACAGATCGGACCAACACTGACGTAATAATATGGTTTATCAAGGTTTTGGACCCTCTAGAGGTCACAATTTTCTTCTGATTTTGATGAAACTTGAAATGTAAGTTTATCACCCAAAGATCACGCATATCGGATCGTAACTTCCTGAATTATGACCCCTGATTGTACGAAAAATCGCGTTTTTTAGCTTGAGGTCCCCCGAGAGGTCACAATTATTATCCGATTTAAAAAAAACGTTCAAATATATCACCGTTACACCGTAAATTTTGGTTGAGTTAGAATTTCGTGAAAATCGGACGAAATTGCGGGACAAAATGGCCGCCCCTCTTACACAATTAGTCTAAACAAAGTTGTTGGCAATCTCGAAGTCACAATTTGGATCTGATTTTGATGAAACTTGAAATGCATATTTATAACCCAGAGATCTTGAACCTGTCGATATTCGGGCATATCGGATGGTAACTTCCTGAATTATGGCCCCCGATTGTATGAAAAATCATGTTTGTAGCTTGTGGTCCCTGTAGAGGTCGCAATTTTAACCGATTTAAAAAAAAACGTGTGAATTTTTCACCATTACACACTAAGATCTTGGTTCCTTATGATAATCGCGGATACCCGAACTTAACTTCCTAGATTATGGCCCCTGATTGTTGGAAAAATCACATTTTTAGCTTGCAGATTCTCTTAGAGGTCACAATGTTTTTCTGATTTAAAAACCCGTTTAAATACATCACCATTCCACCATAATGAAGGTTGAATTCGAATTTCGGAAAAAATCGAAATGAAACTGCCCGATAAAATGGCCGCTCTTTGTACGCAAATTGTGTAGAAGTATGTAATACGAAGGCTGTGGTTAAACTTATAACATATCTTTATATCCCAAAGATCTCAGTCCCTTATGATATTTGCACATTTCAGGCCATAACTTTCTGGATTATTGCCGCTGATTGTACAAAAAATCGCGTTTGTTTATAGCTTTTTCTCTATCCATCTCTTGCAAAATGTGGGCATATCCTGCCTGGCAGCCGCTGGTTCGTACCATCAGGGGTCATATTTCAGGAAGTTACTCCCAATATGCGAGAATACCGAAAAGAACTGAAATCGTTTGGATATAAACACATGGTTTTAAGTTTCATCAAAAGCGGATAGAAATGTAAACCCCATTTACATTCAAGGGGCTTTATATAATAATATTTGCTTACACTAAGTTGCATTTTTCCCGGCAGTTTCGATCCCATTTTCACGAAATGTGAACTCAACCATCATTATATTGTGTAACGGTGACATGTTCAATTCTTAAATCGGTCAAAGATTGTGACCTCTAGAGCGAATACAAGCTAGAAACATCTCAGCGACCTTGAAGAAAATTGAGCTGACCTTAACAACTAGAATTAGCCTACGAAACTTGAAACTCTCCATACTAGTGTTTTATTGTGACTTGTAATATTGTTTTAAATTGTAGAAAAAATCGTGTAAACACCGTCTATAACGACGTTAGGCGTGTCCCTTGATATCCTTGTTTGCTAGGATTCCTGAGAAGCGACCACCAGAACATAATACATATACGTAAGCCCACTTAAAGTCAAACATGGACCCGTTTGGTGTATTAACTTTTCGCAGTAAATTATGGAAGGGTATCGCTGCCAATATTAAATGCTCTGCGACAATGTAGTTTCCATTGATTATATGTGAAAAGTACAATGTACTAATACCGATATTGATAAAGTCAAATTACCTCTAAGATAAGAGTTAAATGTAAAACGTCAAATGTTAAGTGTTAAATGACAAATGTTTTGTGGGAAAATGCTTTTTTTGACGTGTCTACATTTTACATTTCTGTCATTACATTTTACATATGCTCTCTGCCACATCCCATTTGTCCTTCACGCTTTCTACATAGCAACTTTCGCTCAGCATCAACTTGCATATGCAAATGTAGGATATCGCTTGACTTATTAACATATATGGAAACCCGGCACAAGCACGCTATTAGGATATTCAACGCACGACAAAAGAAATCAAGCTGGCACACCATAAGAAACTATCTAGACGACCATGCGTAATTTTGAATGTGCCAGGAAATAATTGATAGATTCAAGCAGCCAAAGAAAAATACTTTCCAGTAATTTATAACACAATAACTGGAATTTCGTATTAATACCCGTATTTTTATATTTTAAACATCCCCACTCTTTCCGGTCTCTCTATAAACAGAGTTGAGTAGCCTACTTTGATCCATTAAAAAACAACAATATATAAGCATTGTGCCCAACAAATAAATAATATATTTATGCTTCAAATCCTTCTCAAACATTGTAAGTGCGAAGAAATGCCCTGCTATTAAAATTCGATCAAACCTGGTCATGTTTACGTCACGTCTTGGGAGTCAGAGGAGAATTCATTGCATACATAAGACGATGTTGTCTTTAATCGCTTACTATTTATTACAAATATCGAATCCTAATTAAATTCTCGGATTATCCACTACCCGCGTCTTTTTACGTCATTTTTATCTCAGAAAGTATTGTACGTCTAACTCTTCATAAAGTTTATCAACTTGTACATCAAGCGCTCAATGTTCGCTTGTGACCTTTGACATCACGCGTGCAGAAGTTCCTATTCGTCGCGCTGTTGATTAGGGGAACCCTTACATTTTTGTCCTGTATACGCTCCATGAGTGTTTTTCGGGGAATCCAGTATTTTTCTAGTAAGATTGGATATCTATACTTTCTATATATATCAAAATTGCCATACTTTTATTTGAAATAACCACCCGATAAATACTTTTCTGGGAACCCATCTTTAAAGGGTTCACGAGGGGAAAAAATTTGCTCAATCAAGGTGCTTTTACTGCACCAAAAACTATGGGATGGCGCAATTTCATTAGACCAAATCTCAACAACCGCAAGCCAAGTAAAATTCATGCCACTATTTATTATAATTCTTCAACTACTTTCAGACTAACAATTAACTTTATTATTTATAAATGCCCAAATTAGGAAGCCACCACTAATATTTGAAAAATTAAAACTATTCAGTAACTTGGAAGCATACGATTTATATTGTGCACCATGCGTTTAGCACAAGATCGTGATAGTTTATGGGGAAAATGTTAAACGATCTATCAATCCT